CTGAATCTTGGATTTTGAGGAAAATAGATTATAATATACACCAGAAATTAAAAATGTAGCCGTAAACAATATATTTATTAAAGAAACTGCAACTTACAGACTATATAGGTGGATGACTTCTTGATGTATTTTTACAAACTCAAAAGCAGTTTTTCCTGTAAGAGACTTATTTGACGTTTAATGAAATTTCTTTAAAAATTTATTGGTTTTCGGTTTACTCTTTTAGGGTTACCACTACTTCTTACTTTAATATAATTATCTATTTGAACATTTTTCAGAACCTCTAAAATTGAAAAATATTGGGATATTTATAATCATAAAACAAAGAATTAAATTTTGACGGGAACTCTTCTACGTCTTCGGAGAAAACTAAAACTATAACACATTTTTTTAAATTCCAATATATTAATATGTCGTAATACAAAAGGAATGGCTTAACTTAGAATTCATAGCTATATTAGCTTAATGAGTCACTAACTAAAATATTCTTAAAGATCATACAGAATTGCAATTATAAAAAAAATGTGAAATAGATATAAGTGAGTTTCATTTTTGATTAGAAAGGCCTTAGGAACAAGAGTGGCGTTCTTTGAGATTCAAACACTCATTCAAAAATACCTAGACTGCCAAAAACAAATATATCTCTGTTTCATCACCTACCAGAAGGCTTCTGATAGAGACCAGAATAAGAAATTGTTGTATTAATTACAGAAAATGAAGCTAGTCGAAAAAAACTGGTGCACGATAAACTTGTGTCATGTCTTCATTGCACTTTAACTTGAACTCTGAATACATATTTAAACAAGACCCCCAGACAACCAATGTTCATGGAGGAATAACTGTTTGTTTTATTAGAAGAGCTATTACTTTAAGCAATTACTGTAATTTAAAGCAATAAACATGTCTGAGTCTGAATATGAGAGAATAGATTTTATCGCTATCTACATATATTAACTATCTGTTAAGGATAATTTTAGAATTATTTTTAAAGTAGATACAACATACTGTATACTATATAGTATACAACCGTCTGCGTATACTTATTTAGATACAATATTTTCTCGATTAAATATCAGTTTTAGAAATGTTTGGTATGCAAAAACATCAATTTACATTAAATATCATTGCAAAACATTTAACTGTTGAGATAATGAGAATTAAATCAAAATGTTGAAGTCCATGAAATGTATGGTCCATGTGGGAATAAATTAGAAGTTAGAATATTATAGTATATTATTATTAAGCTTACCTATATTACTGTCGAAAAAAAAAATTAAAAAAGGTCTACACGGCGCCAAAATTTATATATAAAAAAACAGTAAATATATTAACAATATTATGCAGACGATACCGTTCTGATAGCAGAAAAAATAGAAAACAAAAATTACAAAATATACTATAAATATAATCGAGCAAACAGAGCCGCAGTTTGCCTAAATGAAACAATAAGGAGAAATAAAAATATCGGGAAAGAAATAAAAGGCAGGATTTACAAAACAGTCATCAGACCAATAACGATATAGGCGGCAGAAACACGACCTGACAGAGAGGACAAAAAGAATATTAGAACCAGCAGATATGGAAACCCTTATACAAATAAATAGTAAAACACTATGGGACAGAGACATCCAGGATACCGCATATCGTCAAACACACAGTGGGCCCAGTTGCTCACACAAGGATAGAGTCTGTATTGTGGTATTGTCTAATATTAATATATTTTCAATATTATAATATAGACTATATACTAATTCTGATTTTTTGTTCACAGGGCCACCTACATATATATATATATATATATATATATATATATATATATATATATATATATATATATATATATATATGTATATAGTAAACTCTTAAATATTGGGGAAATCTGCAAGAAAAACTCTAATGTGTATCAATTGTTTCGCCTAACGTTTTCGCCAAAGAGAATTAATTTGGCTTCTTCGGGGCTGAAAGAGAATAAATTATAATTAGCTACCATATATAATCTAATAAAAAACATTTGCCTTACCGTAAACTTTAGAAATGACGAGTTATGATGTTAAAAAACTTTAGCTAGTAACAACATAGTGGTGTTTTTTTGTTACTATGTGCAAAAAAGTATTTTTTGTTAACGTTCTAAATGTATGGTAGCTTTGAACTTAAAACGCAAAGGTTTACCCAAGGTTAATCGAAAAACCCAATGTAACTACATTTAAAGGAAGTAATTCTTTGAATTGTCGGCAATAACTAAATTTTTGATTGTTATAAAGTTTGAATGTAAGCTTCTGTTTTCATAGAACGCAAGCGCTGACAATTACAAGTAGTTCTTTTGAATATTTATGTCGTTAAGGTTCATTGGTAAAACCGATGAAATTAGATCCCAGTCTGGAGAGATATTAGTTTGGAATTTTCTTAATTGAAATTCTATTTTCAAGAAAGAATTGAAATTCTTTACTATTAAACTTATCTGCAAAGATTAAATTTCTTTTCTCTCTCTCTCTCTCTCTCTCTCTCTATATATATATATATATATAATATATATATATATATATATATATATATATATATATATATATATATATATAGATTAGCACATAATTTACTAACCTGCATTTCAGTCTAAATTCTGGTCTCTAGGTATGCCCAGAAATTTGGTGTTATCTAATGAATATTGTTGCTTTTACATTATTTATTTTTACTTTATTTTACATAAAACGTAAAACGTGACACAGACATTTTACGTTTTGAATCTTGACAAAGGCAAGGGTTTCACGCCGAAACGTTGATTGGTTGTTATGGAAAATTCCACATGTAATATATCCTTATTGAACCCAAGAAACATTAATTTTACATTGAATATTAATAGGGTTCAAGAAACTCAAAACTACAATATATATATATATATATATATATATATTATATATATATATATATATATATATATATATATATATATATATATATATATATATATATATATATCCATCTCCATCAGTCGTTGGAGCTACTCTGTAAATACATTTTTTATTATAAGATTAATCAAAATAACAATTTGAACGCAACCAAAAGTTATGACCGATTTTTGGAATATAAAAAACAACTTTAAAGTACTCTTCTCAGTTTTATTTACCAGAAAGAAGATCAATCAAAATAATAATTTGGACGCGACCAAAAGTTATGACCGTTTTTTAAAGATATAATAAACAATGCGACTTTGAAATAATCGAGCTCTTCAGACTTTTATACGGACGGATCAACTTGATGTCCTAGTCGTCCTTAATGATAATCTAACAATTATATGGAGAACCGTTGGTAATCTGATTGGTAACAGATGTAATAATACATGAATTATGGTTTTAGCTACATCGTTTTTTATACCATGAGAATTGTCAGATTATATTTTTTCTGTAATCCTTAAAGGATTTTCTTTAATATAAAAAAATTCTATGGCGCCTGAGTATTTCAAGATGACGTCCACTGTGTTAGGAGATCATATTATGAACTCTTGATACATCCTCATATGATTTTCAGAGGCGTTCGAGTAACGTGCGAGATCCCTGCTTGAGCTTCCCCTACCATTACAATCAATCGTGGTTAAACCCATGTAAAATATGTTACTTGACTAATATTTAGTACTAAACTTAAATTAGTTATTGCTAAATTATCAAACATTATATTGCATTTAAATTTTTATTCAAATAAATACTGAAAGACAGTAACAGTTTCCGCAATAACTTTTAAGCTATTGCAATATATTTGAAGTACATATTTATAGAGCACAACTATAGAACAAGTTCTTACTTTTTGAGACCGTTTTGAAAATGTTTGTGTGTGGGTGTGTGTTTTTTTTTGTATATGGTTTTCACTTAAAAAATTGTGAGGGCATAAATAAGTCAAATAACACAAAATGAAGTCGCGAACACTAACTGAAAAGTTGGGCAACGGAGAATTGGACTATTTTTACTTTGATCAATTTAAGCCCACGAGTCCTTCATTCTAATTGTCCACTAACAGCCATCATCTCGATAACTCTCGAAGCGACAATAATGGGCGTATTTAAATTTTGTCCCCATCTCCTCCGGCAACAAACCCATAAAAACTACAACGGCCTTTTGTCAACTCGAGGTTCGTATTCCTCGTGGGTTTTGATCTCGGCCCGGAACTACTAAGCATTCTTGAGCATAAATTCCGACCAAAAGGAGAGTTTTGGAGTTTTCGACTTCTGTTCGTGATAGGAAAGCTTAGAATATTAAATCGCATTGTGACACGGGGGTTTATTTAAGGTACGTAGTTTGTCTATGTCGAGAGATGGGAGACACTAGTTTAAAAAATATAGGAATCCGTTAATCTATTTTTGACAAAGATAGAGCTTTGCAATAAAGTTAATACATAGAGCATATATACTTGATTACAATTAGGACCAAGTTTGAGAAGACGATGACTATTGCGATTGTAATTGGGATTATATTAGGAAGTAAACTGAACTTCTGGTTATTAAGAAGTTTCTTAACCGCCGCTCATAGTAACCTCCGGCGTTCAAACTAGCGAAATGTTGATATAAAGTGAACTTAAAATAAGATTGGTTATATTTCTTATAAATGCCTTACGTATTTACTGACCACGCATATTTTTCCTAAACAAATTAAAACTTTAATCGAATCCGCGTACAACGAAAAAGAGTGTGTGACAGAAATTAACTTTTCATCTAAGATAGTGACAAACAATTGATTAAACGTCGGTAATAGACAAAATTGTACAGCTGTGAGACTAGAAAAAAAATCCAAGCTTAAACACAATTATAATAAATTATTGTGAAGGTAAAGGCCAGGAATATAATTATTCAAAAACCCTTTGATTCTACGTGGAAAACATCAGCATTTTCAGATTCGGTAATCCAACAAGGAAATTCATGTATGATTTTTAAAGACCAGTCTACTAGCAATATGTTTAAGCTAAAGATACAAATATTTACCAATGAGAAGTCCATAGGTAACGGGTAATTCTTCTTGATGGGCCTATCCGTTACGAATGTTGGCGATCATCATGGCAGTCTTTATCTTATCTGCAGCAGCGCGGAAAAGCTGCACAGATGTTGTATTGAACCAGATTTTAAGGTTCTTTAACCAAGATGTTCTTCTTCTTCCTGGACCTCGCTTTCCAAATATTTTTCCTTACAGGATAGCTTGAAGTAGAGCATATCTGGATTCATTTCGCATAATTTGTACGAAGAATTGTAGCTTTTGAGATTTAATGGTGGTCAGTACCTCTCGGTTCTTATTCATTTTTCTAAGGACCTCATCATTTGTGACTCAGTAAGTCCACAAGATCTTAAGTATTCTCCGATATAGCCACATCTCAAATGCTTTCAGTTTTTTGCACATATCTTCGTTCAAGGTCCACGATTCAACACCATATACAAGGACAGAGAATACGAAGCATCGTAGCATTCTTACTTTTGTATCAAGAGAGAGGTTGTGACTCTTGAAGAAGCCCCTTATCCGATTAAAGTTGGATTTAGCTTTTGCGATGCGTGCTCTAATCTCCTGGTTGTTGGTCCATTCTTCATTTATTATGGTGCCGAGGTAGTTGTAGCGCATCACTCTTGCAGCTATACAGGAGATTGGTTGACGTAGAGTTGACCTTCTGTTATCCTTTTCTTACTAATTATCATAAGCTTTGTTTTCTTAGCGTTTTTATTGAGTCCATATTGTTGACTGTAATACGTGATTTTGTTCATAAGAAGTTGTAGGTTTTCTAAGTTGTCTGCAAATACTATGGTGTCATCTGCATATCTGATGTTATTAAGCCAGTAACCATTTAGTAGAATCCTAGATTAGAGGGGGCAAAATACAGCCTTGCCTCGGTAATAACCAACAATAACTAAAAACAAGAAAAAAATTTAGTCTGAAAAAGATGACCATTAGTAAAGCATACTAATTTATGTTCATGACTTACGGCGCCGAAACACATTCCTTAACCCAGGCTAAAACCACCAAACTAAGAGTAGTCCAAAGAAGAATGGAACACTCGCTACTTGGACTGACTTTCAGAGACAGAGTTAAAAACGAAAAAATAAGAAGAAGGACAAGGGTGATAGATATCATGGTTACAGTAGAGCTGGGCGAACTATGAATTGAGTGAATGAAGAGTGTTAGACCTAAAAAATTACACTGTACAGACCAGGAGCTGACAGAAGGAATATAAGTAGGCCACCTATATGATGAACAAACGACATCAAAAGAATCGCTGAGCATTGCTGTAGGAAGCTCAAGATAGACATAACCGAAAGAAATTAGTTAAAGCCTATCTTCAACTTTGGACGCAGAAGGATGGGCGATAATGATGATAAAGTTTAAAATATATAATAATAATTATAAAATACGGAGTTCGGCCCTGATAGCGATTAAATATACCACGTTATCAGCTGTCCCGAAATATAGTCATTTTAAATGGTAAAAACAAATCATAATTTAATATTTTATACCTCTACTACAAGTTTAAGTGCATTAGTTAGTGCTGATAATATTATCTCAAGTGAGTAGCACTTCTTTCCGTATTATTTTTGTAACAACAACAAAATAACCTTTAAATAATACCTACTTAAAAGATAACAAAAATCCCAGTTGGGTCTTGACCAGTTTTTTGGACCGGCCACAGGACCGGCTCAACTTCTGATCAAGAAAATTAATAAAATGACTTCATACAACAATAATACTACAAACAACTCCACTAAACATAGTTACTCAGATGTCGTAAATTATTTCAAACATCCAACAAAACAACAAGCAATAGTTATTTCCAGCATTGAAGGTACAAAAATCCATGATTACGTCGTAGCTGTTGGATCACTAGTGGGTCCAATTAATGTACTTTTTGCCTCCAGAATTGCTAATAATAGGATATGCATATACCTCTCTTCAAAAAACACTGTTGATGCTCTTCTTCATTCTTATAAATATATCGAAATAAATGGATGTCAAGTCGAAGTAAGAAGATTAATTTCTCCAGCCCAGAGACTTCTAATATCAAATGCATGTCCTACAATCCCGAACGAAATAATTGAACAAGAATTACAAAAACTTACACACTGTATACAGAATGACTTTTCTTCGAGTAGGTATGTCTGAAAGTGAGTACAGTCATGTTCTGAGCTTTAGAAGGCAATCATTCATTACACCCTTGGAAAATATGTCTATTCCTGACTCTTTTACCGTAACTCGATAATACTTCCTACCGTTTATTTCTCTTCATAGACGGATTCAGTTGCTCCAAATGTAAAACCATTGGTCATCAAGAATCAGAATGCGCTCACATTTCAAACCAAACTAATTCAACTCCCCTCTCAGATTCAACTCAAACCACATCGTCATTATCTACACCTAATAAACCTAATGATAAAATATATCAATCTACGGAAAACGACCTCATCCAAAACATATCAAAGGATAATCCAAACACTTCGTCTTCTTCCTCCAAAACAACATCACCAGTTGTAAATAACACTGAAAATACTACAGAAATCGACCTCATCCTAAACATATCTAAAGAAAATCCAAACACTTCGTCTTCTTTTTCCAAAACAACATCACCAGCTGTAAATAACACTGAAAATACTACAGAAATCGACCTCATCCAAAACATATCTCAAGATAATCCAAACACTTCGTCTTCTTCTTCCAAAACAACAGCACCAGCTATAAATAACACTGAAAATATCACGACACCAGAAACATCAATAACCTTAAATAATCCAGTCAATTCAAAACAGCTAAAAAGACATAACATGTCGTCTCCTTAAATTATCGAAGATAACCCAACAACCGACTCATCCGTTTTTAATACTCCTAAACAACATAAATCAAAAAAGAAACCCAAAACCTCTTCTAAAACCACCCGCGAAGATGTCATTCACTCCCTAGAATCCATCAAAGATAAAATCGAAAATAGATCACCTCCATTTATACTAAATTTCAATGAAATATGTGATTTTATGGAAAATGTTTTAAACTCTCGTAACCCTAAATTAACTTCCAAAGATTACTCCAATGAACCAGAGGAACTAATTCAGATCCTTAACTTTGTTTATTGTTACACACAAAATTCTAGGTTAAGAAATAATATCACCCGACTAAAGAAAAAAATAAACCCTAACCCTTCTTCAGCTGACAATACTGACGAATCATCACTAGTTGAAGGATAATCAAGGGATGACTAAATCATTTATAGTGCAATGGAACATAAATGGGTTTTATACCCATTATGAACAGGTAAAACTATTAATCGGCGAGCTTTCTCCTTTAATCCTTTGTCTTCAAGAAACCCACTTTAAACAAAATAACATAAATTTAAAAAATTTTCAATGTTTTAAAAAAAATCGAAAAACTCAACAAGCTAGTGGCGGAGTAGCTATTTTCACCAGAGCTGATTTGGAAGCTAAACCGATCGCGCTAAGTACTAATCTTGAAGCTGTAGCAGTCTCTATTACCTATCATAAAAAGATTAACATATGTAACATTTACTTACCACACCCTAGTAATCTTGATATGCACGAATTAAATAAACTTATTGACCAAATTCCACATCCTAAATTAATTTTAGGAGATATGAACTGCCACCACCCGGCATGGGGAAGCCACAAAACTGATAAATACGGTAACTTATTGAAAAACCTAATTGATTGTTCAGATTTATTATTACTTAATACAGGAAATCCAACTAGATTTAATTCTTACAACGGATCATTTTCCGCCATTGATATATCCTTATGCAGTCAATCACTCTCAACTACATTCTCATGGAACACTTTAAACTCATTATATAATAGTGACCATTTTCCAATTTCTATAACATCAGATCACATTCGTCCCCTCGATTTCCCAATATATCAGTCCTGGAAATTAAAAAATGCAAATTGGGCATCCTATCGATCCTATATCAATGATAAACTTGAAAACTTCTATTTAAGCAATAATATAAACTATGATATCACCTCTTTAAATAATATTATTATTGAAGCAGCTTTAGAAAATATAGGAAAGACAAAACCCTGTAAAAGGCAAATCGTACCTTGGTGGAATAGTGAAATTGCAAAAGCACTCTCATCTTGTAAACATGCCTTTAATAAACTTAAAAAACATAATACAGACGAAAACTTACTCAATTTTAAAAAACTTAGAGCTGAATCAAGATATCTTATGAAAAAAGGCAAAAAAGAAACTTGGAAAGACTACGTATCGTCCATAAACTCATCAACACCTTCACAGGTTATTTGGTCTAAAATTCGGAAACTTAAAGGTACCAACTTCTTTAGGCATATCAATGCACTAACATATAATAATGAGATCATCACCTGTAAAAAAGCTATTGGTGAAACTTTAGCCGAAGTTTACCAAGAAAATTCTAGCAACCAAAATATAACACCGGAATTCTTAATACATAAGCAAAATATAGAATCATTCGAAATCGTTGATAAAGAATCTGATGACCCAATAAATGCTAGCATAACTCTTCAAGAACTAGAATACTCTATTGCAAACTCCAAAAATACATCCCCAGGACAAGATGATATTCCACCAATATTCATAAAACACCTACCTTTCAAAGCAAAAATAATATTGTTGGATTTATTCAATACCTGTTTTTTAAAACATAAATTTCCAAAACTCTGGTCTCAGGCAATAACTATTCCCATTATTAAACCCAATAAGCCCAAAGATATACCCTCATCGTATCGTCCTATTTCTCTCACATGCAGCATGTGCAAAATACTGGAAAAAATTTTAAATCTCCGTCTAATATGGTATTTAGAAACAAAAGATCTCCTTACCCCATTTCAAAGTGGTTTTCGCAAGGGACGGTCTACATTAGATAATCATATTTCACTACAAACCTCAATTAATGAAGCCTTTGCAAACAATCAGAAGTTGATTGCAATATTCTTTGACATAACTCAGGCTTTTGATAGGACATGGAAACACTCTATATTAGCAACACTTACTAATTATGGAATTCAAGGTAACATGCTTGCTTTTATAAAAAATTTCTTAAGTAATCGTTATATACAAGTTAGAATAAATGGAATCACAAGTTCTTCAAAAATGTCAGAAAATGGAATCCCTCAAGGATCAATTTTAAGTCCAACCCTATTTTTAGTGGCTTTTAACAGCATCATAGATGTAATTAGAGCTCCTATTAAAGCTAGCATTTACGCGGATGATATTGTTATCTACACCAAATCTAATAACCTAGCTTCAGCAACAAATATATTACAACTTATGTTAAATCGACTTCAAAACTGGGCATTACAAACCGGATTCAATTTTTCTGCAGAAAAAACTCAATACGTAATTTTTAGTAAAAATAACACTCGCCATACAATTAATTTAATATTAAATGATTTACCTATAAAGCAGTCAACGGAAGTAAGTTTCTTAGGCCTAACTTTCGATAGAAAATTAAATTGGAATGTGCATATTAATAAATTACAACAAGCATGCCAAAACCGGTTAAACATACTTAAAATATTATCTAATAAATTTTGGGGTGCCGACTGTAAAACATTAATTAGCCTTTACAAGTCACTTATTAGAAGTAAATTAGATTACGGTTGCATATCTTACGGTGCTGCAAGCAAAACTGCTTTAAAAAAACTAAATAGCATACAATCTACAGCTTTGAGATTAGCACTGGGTGCCTTCAGAACTAGCCCTATTAGTAGCTTACAAGTTTTAGCGAGAG